AGAAAGTGAACAGATGGATATATCTAAAAAAAAAAAAAACAAAGGAACAGGTTTGCCAAAGCTCAAAAATTTTAATGGCAGATCAAACAAAATGAATGAATCTGTAATCAGTATCTTAGTGTTCTCGGTTTAGTTGCACATTTCTAGTTTTCAAATCTTCTATTTTGGAAGTAAATATCACTTGGTATGTAGTTCTTAAATCTTCTATTTTGCACATTTCAGATGCTTGCCAAACAAAGTGAGAAGGGTTGGTTTGGTGGGTTCCACTTCCATGTGTGGTAAATGTGCAATGTCTTGTTTGTCCTTAATTAATGGTCAAATGTGTACATTTGACCACAAAATATACACTTATTACAAAATTGCCACTACATGTTTGGCTCCCATATTTAAATTTTGACTTGATCATGACCATTGATTTGTTAGATCTAATGGTACATATTTATTCTTATTTCTTTCACTATCTATCATTCTCATTGGATCCCAACTCTCTCTCTCTCTCTCTCTCTGTATGTATATATATATATATATAAATAGTATTACTAGAATGTTAAAGGAAAAAGGAGGAAAATATATTTAAGAACAAAAAAGCATGCTTGGATCTAAAAATATCCAATCATTTTAATCAATCACTCACTTTAACTCAAATCTAACTCAATTTTAAATAATATCAATAATTCATTTTTACATATTATATCAACCTTAATTCACTATTTATCAACTTACATAATTTTAATTAACCATTATTTCACATGACTTCTCTCCTACTTTTACATCAAATGAACTTTAATCATTTTATTCTAAATAGTATTCTAATATAAACTCAAAATTTCACTAAGATCTAACCATACCACTTTTTCTAAAAAAAAAAAGTTAGTGGGATTTTGTTGTTTATAATATAATAATATTTACAATAAAATAATTTAAACTATTTTATGAGTGTTGAGTTAGTATTCATGATAGTGGGATTGAGTTAAAATTGAGCTTAAAAAAGTGATCTATATATAAACACTATTTCCCGCAAAAAAATGTTGTTTACTAATTCTGGAAACTATATAAACACTTTATGGTATGTTTTAAAATATAATTTAGGTAATTGCGGCTGATTTATTAAGGTAATAAATCACATAAAAATTTCTTTTGTATATCAAGATATTCATATCATATATCTATATATATATATATATATATATATGTATCATATAGTTGTACCTAAAATATCGAGATCTATCGCATTCTTAACAAACATTATATTTTTTTTTCCCGAAACGATAGAAGCATCTATATAAAAGAAAGGCGAACAACGTTCGAATACAACGACGCACCATTGCTCAAAGAAAATAAAACTGAGAGACACGCCAAAGACGGTCTAGAACCTCAACTAACAAAATAGCCAAAACAAACAACCCAACCACCAAAACTACCCACCAACAAGAGATGGAAAGGGAACAGAAAAAGAGGTAACCGCTCACCACTGCCCGAAGGCCTAGCAATGAGTTATCTCCAATAAATAAAAACCATCACACAACTAACTACTAAAAGCAAGAACAAAATAACCTCTAAACTAACCCACAACATCACTGAATTGATGCCAATCAGAGAGAGCCAGCTGCACCAATGTATGCTCGGGAATTAGAGCCTTTTGAAAAATCCAAAGATTCCTGGACTTCCAAAGCCACCAAAGCAAATATGTGGAGAGTTGAATTCTAGCTTCGGCCACCTTGGAGTGATCAAGGGAGCATACATGATACCACCAGTCTGGAAAAGAATCTGTTATGTCTTCAAGGCCATCCCATTGTACCGGACTTAGCTCCCAAACTTCTTAGCTCTAGGGCATTTGAAGAGAAGATGTTCAAGAGTTTCCTTGTCCCCCCCACAAGTTGAACAAGTAAGATCCAAATCCACACCTCTCTTCTTAAATTGAACAGAAACTGGAAGGATGTTAGTTAAGCATTTCCAAATGAAAAACTTAACCTTACCTGCTATTCCCAACTTCCAATGTCTGAATTTAATAGACATATTGAGAGAAGAGGCTGAGCTTCTTTCAGGTAAATCTGATTTCAGAGCTTTTAAATAAGATAGATGCTTATAGGTGCTTGCCACAGAGAAGATGCCCCTCTTGTCTAGACCCCAATAAAATCTGTCTTCTCTGCAGGGATGAAGAGAGGAGATGGCAAGAATGGCATTGCTGTCAGCTTCATTGAACACCTGTCTAACAAGCCATTCATTCCACAGAAAACCATTGGACTGCAAAAGATCCTTGACCCAAATTAGATGGCCTTGAGCAATTGGAATAAGTGAAGGAGAGGGTTTATCAAGATTAGGAACCCAGTTGAGATCAGCAATTCTAGTAGAAAGACCATTCCTCACTTCAATTCTTAAACAGCTAGCAAAGAAAGGCAATACATCCATCCAGCTGTTCCACATCCAAGACCCCCCATTTGTTTTACTAGCATGAACCAGAGATGAGTGAGGGAAATACCTGTCTTTCAGAAGCCTGCTTACCAAGAGATTAGGCTATGAAATCACCCTCCAGAGTTGCTTACACATCATGGCCTTATTGAATAACTGGAGGTCCTGGAAACCAAGGCCCCCTTGATGTTTTTGAAGAGTCAAGAAACTCCATTTTTTCCAGTAGATGCCTTGGGGGTGAACAGAACCTGATTTCCACCAAAACTTGGCACAGAACCTTGAGATTTCAGAGCATAATGTTAGTGGCATCTTAAAGCAAGACATGGAAAAGATGGGAAGAGCTTGAATAACAGCCTTAATAAGCACATCTTTTCCTGCAGGACTTAGCAATTTGGACTTCCAACTCGACAATTTTTGCTTAACTGAGGACAGGATGTAATCAAAGACCTCTCTTTTAGCCCTGCCAATGCCTAAAGGAAGGCCAAGATACCTAGTTGATCTATGGGAGGAAATGCCATTCAGAGCAGAGCAGATAGAAGCCTGCAAATGGTGTGGAGTGTTCTTGCTGAAGAAAATAGCAGATTTAGCTAGGTTCACAGCCTGCCCTGAGAATAACTTATACTGCTCCAGGAGATTCATGAGGATGGCAGCTTGGTCAAGACCTGCCTTACAGAAAAATAAAGAATCGTCTGCAAATAGAAGATGAGAAAGCATTGGACCATTTCTGGACATTTTCAATCCTTTGAGACTGCCATTATTGAGAGAGTTTAATAATATAGCAGAGAGCAACTCAGCAACAATTATAAACAGGTAAAGGGATAGGGGATCCCCTTGCCTTATACCCCTCGAGGGTGAGACAAATCCACTGAGAGAACCATTAACTTTGAAAGTGAAGGTTGCAGAAGAGACACATATTAAGATCAGCTTAACAAAATCAAAGTGGAAACCCATCTGAAGCATGATTTTTTTTTTTAAACAAAGCCATTCCACTCGATCAAATGCCTTAATGAGGTCCAACTTAAGAGCCATAAAATAATTAGGACCAGTGGAATGCCTATTGAGAAAATAAAAGGCTTCCTGAGCAATAATGACATTATCAACTAACTGTCTTCCCTCAACAATTGCAGCTTGATAATCACTAATGCAATGCTCCAAACAAACTTTCAGTCTTTGAGCTAAGATTTTTGATATAAGCTTATAAACCACACTGCATAAGCTGATGGGTCTGAAGTGGCCCATATTTTCAGGATTATTGCACTTTGGAATTAAAGAAACAACAGTGTGGTTCCAATATTTCAATAGCATACCTGACTGAAAGAAGCTAAGCACAGCTGCCAAGAGCTCATTCTTAATGAGATTCCAAAAATGCTGATAAAAGATTGCTGTCATTCCATCCTCCCCAGGGGATTTATCTGAGTGCAGACTGAATAAAGTGCCTCTGACTTCCTCCTCCTCCACTGGTTTAAGCAATGCCTGGTTCATATCAGCTGTAATAGTGGTTGGAATAAGGTGGAGGATAGAATCACCTCCCCAGCAGCCTTCAGAGGTAAAGAGATTTTGATAAAATTCAGCAATGTGGCCTTCAATGCTCTTCTGAGTGAGGAGAATTCTTCCTTGGGGAGAGATAAGTCTGGTGATGGCATTATTCCTCCTCCTTTGTAAAGTAAGAGCATGAAAGAACCTGGTATTTGCATCCCCCTCTTTTAGCCATCTAGATTTAGCTTTCTGTTGCCAGAAAAGCTCTTCTTGCTTATGAGCTGAGTTTAGGGTCCTTTTGGTAGCTTCCCACTCCTCCCAGTCAATAGAGGATTTATCTTCATTCAGGGATTCCAGCTTTAGGGTCAGAGCTGCAATGACTTCTTGATTTTTGGTTTGAAAACCAGAACTCCACTTGAGAAGTGCAATCCTGGTAGCTTTAATCTTTTCCTTTAATTGGAAAAATGGGGTACCTTAGACTTTAGTGGACCAAGCTGCAGCAACTACTTCTTCACATCCCTCTCTAGCCAGCCATCTTTTATCAAAGTGGAACATTGTTTTCTTTTTTTTTTTTTTTCTGTGGGGAGACTTTGTTCCAGAAGTAGAGCAGAGTGATCTGATGCACCTCTTAGCTTGTTTGAGATTGTGGCATTAGGATACAGTTGGTTCCATTCAAACGAGCCAAATCCTCTGTCTAGCTTTTCCTCCACTAAGTTAGGATAAGCTCTGTTGTTGCACCATGTGAAATATGGCCCTTCTATCTTGATTTCCTCCATGGACATGTTGTTGATGAAATTTGAAAACCCTGAGAACGAGGATGGATGTCTAAAGTTGCCCTCTGATTTTTCAGAGAGTGATAAAATATCGTTCCAATCCCCAATAGCAAACCAGTTGTTCCCCCAATCTGTTTTGTGCTCCAATAATACATCCCACTGAGAAGATCTAATTGATCTAATAGGGCTCATGTAAACAAAAACCCCCACTGCAAAGAATTTTGAGGGAGGATGAATTCAACAGCAAAGTAGAAATCTGCACATATAATTTGAGAAATAGAGACCTGAGCATTCCAAAATAAGGCAAGTCCACCACTGAGACCAATAGAATCCACAGTAATAAACCTGTCTTCAAAGCCCAACTTTTTACTAACAGTATTTACAAAAGCTTTAGATTTTTTTGTTTCTGAAAGAAAGAGAAAATTGGGGTGATGAGTTTTCAATAACTCTCGGATTTGGGAAATTGTAGAGGGCCCACCCAGCCCTCTACAATTCCACACCATAGCTAACATTTACCACTTGGGTGCCACTCAAGGCTGGCAACCTCCACCTTTTCAGAAGCTTCTTCTAACTTGAGACTCTCTCCCTGTTTCTGCAATTTAGAGCCTTTGACATGAATTAGAGGTTCACAGTCAGCAGAGGACCTTTTACCACCTGGGATGTTGTCAATTAAAATGGAAGTGACTGGCTCTCTTTGAAGTCTGCCTGCTTTTGTCCCAATCCTTTTCCATGTTTTAGGAGGGCCAATAAAGAGCATAGGGTCTTTCCTTTGTTAAATAGCCAGAGGAGGGGTTTCTGAAATCTCAGGAGCCCCAACTTCCATAATTGCTATAGATTCTGAGATGACAGGATTAGATTTTGTTATACCAATATGATTGCTTGATTCCTTATTGGAGGATGAGAAGGAAGCAACAGATTGAAGCTGACCCTGAGAGGAGGTGGAACCATGAGTATTATCCGTTGGGGCAATTGGTATCTGAGCAGTCATTTGAGCAGGTATGATTTAATTGCTATGCTCAGATTGAATAGTGGAAGCCCGGTTAGAATTTCTTAAGTCGGAATCCCGTGGGGTAGTCGGAGGAGGAGAGCCTCTGCTTCCAGAAAGATTAGAGCCAACCCATCTCTGTCCTTCAGATGCCTTCAACCAGTCACCATATTGACCATCCTTAAGAGAGTTATTTTTAATGTCTTGAATCCTTTTTTGACAAGTTCGGTCCAGATGACCAATTTTGCCACAGTAGTGGCATAGGTTCATAAGCTTTTCGTATTTGAAACCTACCCTGACAAGTTGATCCCCCAATCTGATATGAGCTATTCTAGGAATAGGTTCACTCAGATTTAAAGAAACCAGAAGCCGCAACATCTTACTGCCATGGTTACCTGCATTAACTATAACCATGTTGCTAACTTCCTTGAATGTTCTGCCGATTTTCATGCCTACATCTGAACTTAACCAATTAAGAGGGAGATTAGTGACCTGGACCCAGAGGTTGATCTCCTGAAAACAAGGATGTTTGCTACTTAGATTCGTGGTCCATTCCCTAAGGATAAGGTACTGATTTTCAAAACTCCAGTTCGATCCTTCTGCAACCCTGACCTTATCCTCTTTACTTTAAAAGATGAATTGGAAATAACTGGGACTGAGCTCCTTTACTTCCATCGGCTGGCTAAGCCTCCAGATATGAGACATTTCTCTTTTCACTCCAAACCAACCTGCTATTCGATCACCGATTATTTTCCCAAAGAGGCTCCTCTGGCATTCGTCATCACTTAATTTGATATCTTCTTGGGCAATATCTGTAATGTTGATTTCCCTTTCGGAAAGAGAGAAATCCCCTAAACGATCCAAAAGTTCATCATCTGGATTGAAAGAGTTGCTGCTCCCCATCTGGAACCCTAGACGAGAATCGCAAATGAAAACTCTAGAGACAGTGAAGACGGGAATCAAGAACAACAAGAGTTTGCACTATGAGGGCTAACACTCGCCGGAAAAAAAAAAAAGAAAAATCGAACGGAAAAACAGAAAAGGAAGGCTCTCACCGAGAGAATCAAGAGCTCTCACCCGAGAGAATCACTAAATTTGTTAAAGAAGATATTTTTACAAACATTATATTTACTTATATATTTTTAAATTAATCACATCAATAAATAATATTAATATACATTAAATATTTATCATTAAATATAAAGGAATATTACTTCTATAAATTTTATAAATAATATTGACATTATACGACAAAAAATTTTTGAGTAAAATAATATTTGAGTATTATGATGAACCAAAATATGTAAAATTATTATTTTTATATTAAAAAATAATTATATATGTTAAAATGTTATTTGATATAGCCACGACTAGTACTGCCGGCTCGACCGGTAGTATCGGATATAGCATGTTGTACCCGACCGGTTTTTATGGATATATATTGAAGAATACGCCTATACATGGGCTAAGACACTTGATATAACAATATGGGCCGAGCCCAACCGAGGCCAAGCCCAACGTGGACTATAAGGTACACTCCCCCTATAAAAAGGGGGAGAAGAGACTCATTTCATTCTCTCCTCCTGATTCCATTACTACTCTCTCTCTCTCTCTACACTCCCTCCTTACTCTTTCTCTATGCATTCTCATATGAATCAATACTGGCTTAAGCATCGGAGGCCCAAAGCCGGGCACCCCTTCCGGGGTCCCGGACTTTGGGTTCTTGCAGGTACGGTGGCCGTCCGAGTCGAGGGAGCCCGGGTGACATCTTTGTCTCATCATTATTTATATTAATATAAACAGATCAACGGGCTAATATATTGTAAAATAAAGTTTTGCAAAAATATTTTAAGTTACGAAATCCTCGTGCATCGCACGAGATTCTCACTAGTTGAGTAAAAAGTGTTTGAATTTTTTTGGGATGTTTTATATCCAAGCATCCTAAGGGTGTGTTTGTTAAAGTAATAATTTGAGTGAATAACTCAAAGTGAGTTTTTTTGAGTTTACTAAAGTTAATTTAGAAACATTTGTGTAGTTAGTTGCTAGTGGGATTTTGAGTTTATATCAAAATAATATTTAAATAAAATAATTACATTAGTTAGATGTAGTAAAAGTATGAGAGAGATGATATAAAATGATAGTTAGTTCAAAATTATGTGAATAAATGAATAGTTAATTAAAGTTGATATGATGTGTTAAAATAATTGGTTGTTATTATTTAATGATTGATTGTTATTATTTAATTATATTGATAATATTAATGATAACAGGGTTGAATTAAAATTGAGTTAAATTTCGAGTGTAATTTATATGGTTTGAGTGAATCCTTTTAACAAACACCGCTTAATATTTCTTGTAGGCAAGGCCGTTGTAAAATTGTTACATTAAATTTACATTAAAACTCTTGAAAGCGAGTTGAGATGCTTGACGTTCTGATGCTGACCCAACCAGTTGGTGGATAAGATGCACCGCATTTGTTTGTCGGCCAAATTTCATTTTTGGTCCATTATATTGGTTATTTTTCAAAAATAGTCCACTAATTTGGCGGACATCAAACTTGATACAATAAATTGTAAAATTCATCATTTTTGGTCCATTAATCACTCGAGAGCCTACGTGACGGACATCAAACTTGTCCACGTATTCGCCCGATAAAACGCCACGTATGCTTATGGATCAAAAATGATGAATTTTACAACTTATTGTATCAGGTTTGATGTCTGCCAAATTAGTGGACCATTTCTAGAAAATGACCAATATAATGGACAAAAAATGAAATTTTGCCTTTGTTTGTCTGTATGCCTGCATTTTCCGATATAATTCTTTTCACAAAAATTAATTTCTTTGATTTATTTTTTTCATTTGCATGATATATAAAAATAATTATTGCTATTCCCCATTACTTTTAAACGTTATCTACCCAGATTTGAGGCACACACCAACACTGATTATATTCGATGGATTCTGATAGCGTTGTATATTAATGCATGCTTTTATTGAAAACATGGTCCCCATGGTCATTAAGACCTGGATATATTATTATGTTTGATAAACCTAAATAATAAGACAGTTGATAGTTGATAAATTAGTTAACTTATAATTGAATTTCGAGCTTATATGTGATTGCTTATGATTGAAAATATAGTTGATTTGGGAAAAATATTTGCTAAAATTAATTGATAATCCACTTAAAATAAAAAAATAAAAATTAATAGACTTATTTGAAAAGTTAATAACCAAAAAAACTTATGATATAAGTTTGAATTTTTTGAAAAAACTCTTTGTTACTAAACTAATCTCATTTAAATACAACATGAAGTTTATAAACTAGCAAATAAAGTTCATCCTCCCTATATATAAATCCCGAATGCGCTGAGCCTACGTGGCTGCTTCTGGTGCTTCGGAATCCTACTTAGCGAAAAATCATGCTTCGTAATTAGGTTTGGACAAATAATATTGATATATTAATAATTAATAATCTAGGTTCGAACATTCCATAAATATTATTTATCTAACTTAGGTATTTTAATATCACTTGTATTATAATAACCCTTTAATTATTTGTAATTTAACATAGTGAGGTACTAAGTGACTAATATATCCTTGACTTTGATTTGTTTCCTTCAATTAGCTATTGAATTGTAAATGTATTTTAAAAGTTGATAACTTTTGTATTTTTTATCGGTTTTACA